ACACATGCACAAACACACAGGGACTTACATATTTATAGCACACTTCATTCATCCACATAAATTTGATTTATACGGTTTCTTTCTCTTATACACACAAACACACACATACACTCACTCAGGAACTACACATACACACGCGCACTCGCACACACTAACCATGCATATCTACACTCACGTACACAAGCCACGAAGACACACATATACACACGCACAAACACATCTCGTACTCATACTCTCTCGCTCTCGCTCTCTCTCTCTCTCTCTCTCTCTCTCTCTCTCTCTCTCTCTCTCTCTCTTTCACTCACACACACACACACCCACTCACACATCCACACGAACACATACACGCTTATAACACACTTTACTCGTCCACATTCATTAGTATGTCTCTCTCTCTCTCTCTCTCTCTCTCTCTCTCTCACTCACTCACACACACACCCACTCACACATCCACATACACGCTTATAACACACTTTACTCATCCATATTCATTAGTATGTCTCTGTCTCTCTGTCTCTCTCTCTCTCTCTCTCTCTCTCTCACACACACACCCACTCACACATCCTCACGAACACATACACGCTTATAACGCACTTTACTTGTCCACATTCATTAGTATGTCTCTCTCTCTCTCTCTCTCTCTCTCTCTCTCTCTCTCTCTCTCTTTCTCTCTCTCACATGCACACACACAGTGACGCACACACTTAGTCACGCCCACAAACGCGCACGCACATACACACACTCAGGACACACACACACACACTCAAGCATAAGCACGCACTCTTGCACACACTCACCATGCATATCTACACACACTAGACTACACACACCAAGCACACTCCTTCCACAGGTTATTTATAGCTATCTCCAGTAACATCGTGATACGCCAGCTACCTATGTATTTGTTATGGACACGGTTTCAGCTATTTTGGGAAGGATTACCAACGCACCATCACGCGTACTTTGGTCACCCAACCAATCTGCCAGTTTGTCATTTGAGAAAAAAAAAATTAAGACTCACTTAAAGTTAAAACAAAATAACTTGGAGAAGGGGGGGGGGGGGGGTGTGTTGAGGAGGAGGCATAGGCAAACTTTTAATCAATAAAGTAGCAGAAAATGTATTGATGGGCACTTATAGGAAGAGGTAGAAAAATAGAAGAACGCACTAGACAACCTAACAATCGAAAGCTATAGTTAACGTGCCGGGGATCGAACCTGTCACCCCCAAACGGCGTGTGCGCCTCGCTATGACAACAAGTAAACTAAAAATATGGTCAACTAGGCACCCCCTAAAAAAGGCGTCTTGTTGGCCATATCCATCGTACAGTTTTCCTTCTGAAAATTTCAACAATTCTTACTTTTTTTAATCGTTACTGTACTATGCAGCTGAGAGATTCGGCTAATTATAGCAAAACTTTGCAATGTATTGTGTCTTCTCTGTTATAAAAATGTTAATTCGAGAGCATCCACGTCATTTCACGCCGTCTCATCCAATGTGGCCCTGCTTTCTCCCCCAGAACAGTTACCTGCTGCATGATGAAAGCATTACACTAAACAGGAACCCGATTTTTTTAGAAGCAATCCTTATTAGTTGAAAGTGTTAATGCATTATTTTAATCACCACATAGAGCCAGCACTCACATCGCAGTAATTGTACAGCGCAGACCTGATAATGAAAACTCACAGGGGACCCAAGAAATTGTTCTTCTTATCAGAAATTCCTCTTATCCAGATAAGAATTCAAGCTAGAGAAATTGACAGAGATAAACAAACTGTTCTTTGCAACATAAATTTGCCACATTTGAGATCCTCTTAAGCAGTCTGCGTTGTAGTAATTATCACACAAATAACCCTCAGGGTTATAGCTGGGATATAGCCTGTTCTAATGGTACATGTTTTTTGTTTTTATGTGTCGTGTAATTATTTATTTAAGACATTTGAATAACATAAACGAATCATTGACAATAAAATAGAGAAATATAATAACGAAAGGGTATGGAGAAGATAGGAAATGTGATTTTGTAGAAGATGGCAGAGAACACGTGGTGAGACATACTTCTGGGTAGGCAGTGGGTCTGTTCTCCTCCCCCCCCCCCCATAATAAGTCAAAAGTAAGTAAAGATCCCCTTTTCCCTTTAGGCGTATTGTGTGTATAGGAAGAGCGCCCATATGTTTACAGACCATCGGCACTAGGTGGGCCCCCTATAATAGGACCCCGGAATCACCACGGGGATTTAAGTATATTTGATAGAAAATGTCTATACATGGTTGTAGGCGTCTCTTATTTTTCTTACATAATTATTAGGCCGGCTCAACCATCGTGTTCAGACTGCGTGTCTATGTAAACAAAGTCTCAAATCCACCCATCCCCCCCTCCCCCCCCCTCAACTCCCACCCATCAACCCAGACAGTTTTTCTTACCTCAACCCCTGTTGCATTAGCGAGGGAAAACAGTTATTTCTCAGATAACACACGAATCACTGGTTACTGCTATTCTAAGACAGAGCACAAACTCGACTGGATAATTAAAGTAACCTGGTATTACTTTTGAGAAACCAAACGGTTAGAACTCTGGGCTCTTAAGTGGCAGACCCAGGTTCGAATCCTCGGTAAAGCTGGGTATTTTTTTTTTCTGTCGGTAGGACAATAAACTCCTCACCTGCACAGTCCGTGGCGACAGCAACAGCCATGCGGTTGTAAATCCTCAGGCTCTACACCGCGAAAGTGGCATAATAAAGGCAGTAATTGGCAATGGCAAACTACTGGACGCAAATTTGCGTAGAAAAACCACACAATAGCCAGGGGCTGTTGGGGCTGGTTCTGCAACGTCCTGTAAAGGATACGCGACTAACCAATTGGCAATTTGGTGTTACTTTTGAGTCACAGGAAGTCGCTGGAATGGTGTTTTTGAAAAGGCACCTGGAACAAAGTTTTAAAAACTATTTATTGGGAAGGCTCAGTTCCCTTCCCCCTAGCCCCCCTAACCCTAACCCTCCCCTCCCCACCAAAAAATTTTAAAAACCTGAACCCCCAGCTCCCGGCGCCTATGCATGCAAGAGCAACATATACCAGATGAGTACATCAGGTAGAAGGTTGTGTGCAGGGCCAGATATATAAGTGATAAGACCCTAAGAAATGAAACCACGAGGTCCCTACTGTTTTGAAATTACACCAGCTAATCTCAGAAAACTACAGTTTATAAGCCTTTTAAATATACGAATAATGGAAATATACTGTCGTTTATTTTTTTAATAAAGGAAATTGCTTCTTTGAGTTATGAGTTAGATTATCTTTACATCACTCCGGACACATCCATAGGTGCTCAGGTTCTCTTCTTAACATATTCATCAGCGTCGTGCGGTTAATAGTGCCAGTCCTACGTTGCTTGACAAGACTTCATGTGCGTCCGGTGTGCTTTTTAATCTTGGCTATGTTATTACTCCCAGTTCTTGTATTCTTAGCAGTGATGTGGACACGTTACTTCCACAATATTTAGAACGTTCTATCTCTCTAAGGGCAATGACAATGTTTGCGTGATCCATGGGCCGGCCATCTTCAATTAATGCATTACCTGCGAGTCTATCAGCTCTTTCATTACCAACAACGCCTTTACGTTCGGTTTCGTATGCTCAGATGGGAGTCGCCGTTGCCGAGGGGCTAGACGCTCGCCGCGGATCGGAAGGTCGTGGGTTCGCTCCCTGGCGGAGACGGACTTTTTTTCAAAAATGACTTTGGCTCTCAGGTCGACCCAGCCTTGAGTGGGTACCGGGTGGAGTCCCGGGAAGTGAAGTCGGCCGGCCTGATACTGACCACATCACCCATCTTGTGCCGATTGGTCTATACAAATATAGGTCTAGTCCTATATGCCCTATACGCCTTAAGGCGTGGAAAAGGGTCCTTTACTTAATTTTCTACTTCGTATGCTCACATCAGACCATCAGGTGGGTTGCCTCTATGAACTCACATGTTAGCTGCAGGTCCTTCATGGTTCCCCACAGCTTGCTCTGAACACTTTGCTCTTGAGGCCAGGTGTCTTTTCAAAGTTGTATGTAGAGTGGGCAGGTCTGCAGACAGTGCTCAGGTGTTTGTGGTCCTGTTTGACAGTCACACGCTGGGGACTGTACACTCTTTATTTTATCCTTGTGGTAGAAAGGAAATATAAAGAATGCGACTGCAAAATCACAGAAAATATTTCATATATTTCTCTTACAGGCTATATTAACTATATTTAACTCCGAAACAGCGCATTATACGTTTCCCTGTGTTTCCGAAAACAATATTATGTAATTGTCATCGTCTATCGCATAAATATTTTACACCACCCCTATACATTATTAGTTTAACTACTCAAGTTCTATAATGTCTAAGTTGAACTCATCCAGACTTGGTATTCTAAGCTTGGCTACTGGAAAATAAGGAATTCAGTTTGGTATTGAAAGAGTTAAACAAGAAATTGCAAGTGAAAACAGAAAAAATGACTTTGTTGAGGTCCTACAGATAATGAGATCCTAAGAATCAGCTTAGTTAGCCTTTGGCCCAATCCGGCTCTGGCTGCGTAACATATTTGATCACCAACACCTCTGGACAGAAAAGAAGAAGAAGAAGCAGAAGAAGAAGAAGAAGAAGAAGAAGAAGAAGAAGAAGAAGAAGAAGAAGAAGAAGAAGAAGAAGAAGAAGAAGAAGAAGAAGAAGAAGAAGAAGAAGAAGAAGAAGAAGAAGAAGATGAAGAAGAAGAAGAAGAAGAAGAAGAACAACAACAACAACATAAAGGAGCTGGAGAAAAAGAAGTTGATGCTTATGGTAGTGATAGTGATGAAGATGAAGAATATGAACAGATCCTTCCCGCATTAACCGAAAATCAAATAATCGTATTGTGTTCATTCTACAATGTTTTCAAATCTCAAATCTTGTACCTTGCGAGTTTCCCGCTCTTGCTAGAACACCTGGCACATTTGTCCCAAGCGGAAGTTGTGAGTCAGACAACAGAGACCGTCTATAAAATGTCAACAACCAGTCTCAGATCCCAGCTGAGGGAACATTATCTCACTTGTTCTATTTGTTTCAACAGTTTTATCAGACCAAAAGCTCTTCCTTGCTTACATACTTTTTGTGAAGGATGCTTGCGTGATTATATTGTAAGTAGGGGATACGAAAGCTCCGGTAATTTTCCGTGTCCGGTTTGCAGAACCGACATAACGATGCCAGCGTCTGGTGTAGGCGGATTTCCAGATAACTATCTGATGACGTCTCTTTCGGATACGATTGAGAATTCGACGCCAGCTAGACCCATGCCTAAACCTAGACGTTCGCTTGGTCAGCCTAATGTACAGCCAGAAAACGAGGACAAATCGCTTCCGTCTTATCATAGTGTAGCTGATACTCATCCTGATACCACCTCCGAGGATCTCCCGGTATGTGCTTCCAAAAGTTGCTGTAACGACACAGGTCTTGACTCCTGGATGGCCGTGCCTCGATTCACACCGTCTGCACCTCAGGCTGGCACAGATTGCAAAGAAGAATCCAAAAGTGGTCAGACAGAATACTGTGTTGTTTCCGTGTCCAGCTCAGGTCATTTGCCAGTTTCAAGTGGTTTACCAGCTACAGTTCCTTCCCAGATTGGAGAAGCAATTTATGCAAATGTCAACCCTGCCACTCCAAACCAGCCTCTCCCACTTCATTCGGATCATGATCAAGTGAAACCAGGTGTACCTGTTTATCCGCAACTGTTTGAACATCCACAAACTGTAAACATGTCCCATGGACCCGCTCCTATTGGTTGGAACATCGATTTAATAAACCCTCCTGCCCATCCTGGCATGCTTCATCCACAAGCTGACATCGACAGAAATTATAAAGCTAAACCTTTTACTGCACATGATGCCAGATACAACCAGAATACGGCTCATAAACCATCAAGAACTCCGCAAATACTGTATCCCGCAGTACCTCGGCATACCGAACAGCCTAACACTGCTTGCACTGAAAATCTGCTGCTAAAATTTGGAAAGCAGGGATCTAGTGTCCGGGATCTCCTGAAACCAATTGGCCTTGCTGTAAGCAAAGAAGGCAATTATATAATATCAGACAGCAGCAGGGAAAATAACAGAATTTTCATTTTTAATAGTGGTGGTGAACTCAAAACTGCATTCAACTGTGGATGTAAAGCCAAAGATGTTGCTGTAACTAAAGGAAATGAAATTCTAGTTGCTGTTCATAAAAATACATCAGCAGTTAGACATTTCACCATGGCAGGGCAACTCAAAGGAGAATACGGAAAGTCTTTCACTTTCGAGGAGCCTTGTGGTATTGGCGAGCTTCAGAATGGAGGTGTGGCTATTACCGGCTTACAGAGTCACTGTGTCTATGTTCTTACAGATCAGATGAAACTGGGAGTGAAGTTTGGCAGAAAGGGTAACGGAGATGGCTATTTCCAGCACCCAGGTTTCCTTGCTGTTGATTCTAGAAACCAAATCATTGTTACAGATAAAGTAAATGGTTGTGTGCAAATTTTCAGCACCGACGGAAAGTTCAGACATCGCTTCGGGGTACCCGGGAGCAACCATGGGCATCTTCAAGCCCCTCTTGGTGTGTGTGTTGATGACAATGATAACATTATAGTAGCAGACAGTGGGAACTGCAGGGTAGAAGTGTTTTCTCCCAGAGGCTTGTGGTTGAGCAGTGTGGTGGTAGGCACACATGAACTTGGTGACGCAGTGAAGCCTGTAAATGTTGCCTTTACCCCAACTGGACGAGTTGCTGTTTTACTGAGAGGGCCTTACTTTGCAGAAGTTCGAATCTACACTTCAAGACATAAAGAAAATGGCCAGAAAGAGGGCCATGTAAGCACGAATTCAACACTTACTAAATTAGTACTGAATTAGTTTCTTAATACACATGTTTGATATCTTTGCATGTTAATATTTTATGCTTTCAGCTTATTTTGTGAACTCATACTTCTTTCCTGGGCACTGGCCTGAAGGAAACATTATAAGCCCGGCCTAATTTCAGCCCCTGTCTCTTTAGGTAGGATCCAGGGCCCCTGTCTCAAGTAGGATCCAGGGCCCCTGTCTCAAGTAGGATCCAGGGCCCCTGTCTCAAGTAGGATCCAGGGCCCCTGTTTATGTCAGCTCTGTCAGAAGCTTTAAATTTGTTTACTTAAATGTAGAATTTACTCATCAGAATGCATTCTAAAGTGAGCAGTTTCACACCCATTAGGACAATTTGTAACTAAAATTGTTTGTAATAGCAAAACACAGGAGTATGTTTATTTGCAGTGTTCGTTCGTCCATCGCAAGTGATGAGGGCCACTCTTTCTTTCATCCATCATGAAACTGCAGTTGAATGTTTGTGAGTCCGGAGGTGACTTATAAGTCCAATATGTGACCGGAATAGTCTAGGACAACAGACACTTCGCCCTGCCCTCATTGTCCTAGATTTGCAGTGTAACCTCACACTGTGAAACAGATATATGTTTGTGTATGACAGAATACTAAGAACTGGTCTTTATATGCCTGTACGACACACACACATGCGCACACAAACACACACACACACACACACACACACAGATATATACTCTACTACATGTTATATACTCAGCTCTGAGATTAAGTGATAGATATAATTATTCCTGAGAAAAACAGATATCATTATTCCTGAGATAAACTGAGAGCTGATAAGGTCTTTATTTATTAGGTACATTATTGAAATGCATTATTCATTATTTCTCAGATCTCATTATTTTGGAAAAGGGGAAAAGGGGGGGGGGGGTGCTGAGTGGTCTCGACACATGGCGTCCTCTTTGAGTGCTCAGGCCACAGTGAAGGCTGGGATTTGTTCACGTGGACTTCTAGTAATATCCCCTGGTCTCTGGGTAGTAAGATTGGACACCCTTGTGTATTGTTGTGCACGTAAAAAAATCTAAAAGAGTAGCCTGTTGACGCTGCCTGGACAAAATTTGAATTACAAATCTACCCAAAGTATTCAGGATCATCAGCAGTGCTACGGAGTTCGCTCACTGTGTGGAGATTCTTCGGACTCAGGCTTGAGTAAGAAGTAAAAGGGAGCACTTATGGGTTGCTACCCTTGTGCCATGATGTTGATCCGTAGTTAAAATCTTCAAACCTTCATCATTTCTCAGGTGTGAATGTAATTTTTCTCAGGTATAAATTCAATTTTTTTTCTCAGATATGGTTTTTAATATTTCTCACATTAACTGATAAATGTCATTAATCCTCTCAGAAATACTGATAGATCTCATTATTTCTGTCATTTCTCATTTTCAGCATCACCGCGTGATCAGTCCATGTTGGTAGACACTGTATGCAGTCATCACCACATTTGGAGCTTCTATCATCTTTTTTATCATTCCATAGTCACTGGCTGTATCTTTGTAATATACATATCCTTGTTATTTATTTTATATGTAAAATATTTTAGAAACGTATGGAATAGGGGTATTCAACTAGTGGCCTGCAGGCCAAATCAGGACCGCCAAAGCCTAACAAGTGGCCCACGGATCATTGCCATTTGTAATGATCTTTCTATACTGCTCTGGCCTTTGATGCTCAGCATTTTTCAACATTTTAGGGTGCTTTATTAATGTCCTACCCCAAACAGGGGAAATCCACAGGTCACGGGAAGGTCTAATATTTCAGGGGGTGGTAGATAGGCTGCATGCATTCCTGGGACGTAGGTGGGTTGGGGTTAGGGCCAGTTCTAGAAATTTTAGGGTCGTTAAAAGCATCAGAAACCCGGGAAACCCAGTCCTACCACCCTCTAAAATGTTGGACTGTCCTGTAACAACATCTGGAGTAGGATATTAATAAAGAACCCATTTTGGCCCCTGAGTAACAGTTGTATGGCCCTGATATAGTTAGTATATGTCAGATTTACAGAAACAATTACAGTAAACGCACAGTGGATATTGAGGTGAATAGCCTTTATCAGTTAAACAACAGTGAGAAACAAAAACAAAACAAAAACCAAGAAATTAAATAACTGAATAACTACATAAAAATAAAAAATTATGTAATCAAATGAAACAAATAATAATAAACAACAGAAGGATATAACTACGTCATACTTACCTCGTTGCGAGTCCGACTCGTAATTCCAAGAGTACCCCGATTCCAAACCCAGTGCGTGGATTTTTATCGTAGCATGGGGTGCTGCAGGTCGACCCAGCCTAAAATGGATACCAGAATGTATGTCCGAGGGAAGTAAAGACGGCCAGCGTAATGCTGACCACATTACCCACCTAGTGCCGAATGGTCTGTAAAAATATGGCTGCTCTTCCCAAATGCCCGATGTGTGAAAATGGATCTTTAAATTTTTTTTTTTTTTTTTCAACTTATACTTACCTGGGTTGCTCGGAATGAATAAAGGAAATAATTAAAACTGGTATCTCTCTATATTAGTGAAATCCATTGAGAGGTGTTAGTGAAAAACAGTCACTGGGAATGAAGAGTTGGAGAGAAGGTTTTCAGTCTTGGGGTGAGGAACAGATTGGGAACAGATAAGAATTAGAATGGTATGTAGGAAGTGTACTTAATACAGAAGGTGCCTGGCTCGCTAGTGTAGCTGGTTAAACCTGACTTACCGGGTGCTGTGTGGTCCGGGTTCAAGCCCGGGGAGTTGACAGAAAAGCCACATTTCTCCCAGATTTACGGTATCTGCCATGGAATCAAGGGCGAAGGGTTGCGATATCCATAGTACCGAGCCAAAGGGTTATCATCTCATGGTTTCTGGATATAAAAAAAAAAGTATGTATGGAATTCTATCATATTTTTATTATTTCAAATGGACATTGCTGCTTATTTTTTATTTTTTTTTCTAAGTTTCTTACTCTTGTATTTATTATTTCTTTTGTATTGTCTTGATCCTGAATTTACAACTGCCATCACCATGTCTTGATATACAGCTGTCTTATGCTGTATGATATTACTGACATGTTTTATTTTCTGTCTTTTATTTTGTTCAGTTGGATAATATATAACAATGCATATGATATTAAAACTGTGTATCTCGTACATATAGTCCGTTCCGAAAGTCGTGCCCTCACACTTAAATAAATATCTCAAAAACTCCTGTTGCACATGAGACCTAGTTGACAGAGAAAAGAAAACTAGTTGAACACTTGCTCGCGCACACATTTGAAGAAGAAAAAAACTGTTGCTCAATATCGCCTGCTAGGAATGAGAGCTCCACACTTTTGGTGAGGCCTTAGATGAGAGAAAGCGTCTTCTCCGCACTGTGTGTATAAGCGGCGAAGGTGAAGGAACGCATATCCTACCACCCTTACAAGGTAGAAAAGCCTATGGGAACCGCCATGAGTGGGAGCCGTCACGAGAACTAGTGCCTAACGAGATGGGGTGATTTTCGTGATGTGTACCCAATTTCCTTTTACGACATTCTTGGTAAAGGGCAGTGAAATGAGGACCTGGATTCAATTTTTTAAATATCTGGTAAGCTGCTTCCATTTCTGCTTGTTCTCATAAATGTACACTGGAATAGCCTATATTTATTTTTTTTTCAGCCATTCTATAGATCCTCTCCTTGTTATGTTTCCGTATTGACATTCTGGCGCATGGGTCTGACCCATTCATGCTCCATCCTCCGATGCTTGGCCATCTCATTGTTTCCATGCTCAGCAAAGCCAGTAGGAGTTGACTTGCATCTCTTCTATTTCTTTGCCTCGCAAATGGTCTCTACCTGCTTATCCTAATTTAACACCCATTTCCAAAAGGTGGTTTATCGTCTCTCTCTCCTCCCTACCTCTTACACAATCTGCAGTAAAGAATTTCCCTATCTTCTTTTACAGTTGCCCTCAAAAGGGCAGTTGCCATGTTGTGTTGTGTTTTAGCTCTAGGCTGTGATATCTGCATCTTTCGGCTTAACACATCCAATCTCAGCAAGTGCCAGCACACAACTGATGCATGCTCTTGGAGGTTGCCGGATAGGAAAGAGCATAATCGCCCATATAAGTGGGCAGTACGCTTGGTGGTGTTAATGATTATATTGTAGCTGATCTTTGGGAAGATAATAAGTTATCCGATCTTCAAAGGGTAATTACTTCTAGGGGCTGAGTGGTCTCGAGGAATGGCATCCGCCTTGATTGCTGGAGGTCCCGGGTTCAAGCCCCAGTGAAGGCTGAGATTTTTTTCATATGGGCTTCTAATAATTCCCCCTAATCTCTGGGTAGTAAGATTGGATGCCCGTGTGTATTCTTGCACACGTAAAAAATCCCTTGGCAGTTGGAAACAGAAAAGAGTAGCCTAACAGTGCTGCCCAGGCAAAATTTTAAGTTTAAAATCTACCCAAAGTATTTCAGGATCCTCGCTGGTGCAACGAAGTTCGTACACTGCGCTGAGATCCTTCAGACTCAGGCTTTAGTTGGAAGTAGAATGGAGCACTTATGGGTTACACCCACCTGCCATGATTTTGATGTATCAAATAAACATAAACTTCTTGCCTTATCATCTTTTACGCCATGCGTGGGGGGGGGGGGGGGCTGTGTGTATATCCTCCCTCTCCACACCACCCCTACCCCCACATCCCAGTGAGGCCCTGGAACCAACATAAGGGGAATACATTCCCTATATAATACAGGACAGCAACTGCAATTGGTGCTGAGAATGTGCTTGATAATTCATAGGTACCTGGTTCAATTTCAATCGCAAGTGATTTGGCATCAGGCCACAATACATTGATTTCGACAATGGTGCTGAAAGCTAAATATTCAGAAAGCAGTTACATTGTTGGTTGCGTATCCTTTACAGGACGTTGCAGAACCAACCCCAGTAATTTTGTATGTGGCTGTTATGGTTTTTCTAGGCAAATTTTACATTCAGTAGTTTGCCATTGCTTTATGAAATGTCGA